TGTGGCTTTATATCTGCAGCTCTGATCATAATGGTACTTTCACCTTTGATCTTTCATCACCATCTGCCCAAAAGAAGCCTTGTCATGGGGTTGCCAGACTCTCATTCTAGGTAAAGAGAGCAAGATAAGAAACTCTTGCCTTTGTATTTTCTCCTGTGAGCCCAACAGGGTTCAGGACATGATACCCCAAAATATGCCACCTTGATGTATTGAATATTTCACGCTGAAGGAACTTGAGAAAAAGCATTTGCAGAAAAGACTTTCTGACCTTCTCCTGAAGCAGGTCACATAACCAGAGGAAAGGAGCATTCTAGTCTTTGATGACAAGGAACTCAGAGGGGAATCTGAACAGCAGCAGGCCTTGCTAAGCGTCCCATCATTTACTACACTTTTCCATCCTTCACCAAATCTAGCATAAAAACACTCAGGTTTTACTGCTTCTTCAGGTCTTTATTTTCCTTTGAAGGTCCCTGTGTCACATATAATTTAAATAAACGTATGCTTTTCTCTTGTTAATCTGTCTTTTGTTACGGGATCCCAGTCAAGAGTTTAAAATGATAGAGAAAAAAGATATTTTTGGGGACTTCCCTGGTGGCACAGTGGTTAAGAATCCACCTGCCAAGGCCAGGGACCGGGGTTCGAGCCCTGGTCTGGGAAGATGCCACAGAGCGACTAAGCCTGTGCGCCACAGCTACTGAGCCTGCGCGCTAGAGCCTGCGAGCCACAACTACTGAGCCTGCTTGCTGCAACTACTGAAGCCCGAGCGCCTAGAGCCTGTGCTCTGCAACAAGAGAAGCCATCGCAATGAGAAGCCCACGCACCACGATGAAGAGCAGCTCCCGCTCACCACAACGAGAGAAAGCCCGCGTGCAGCAACGAGGACCCAACGCAACCAAAAATAAATAAATTAAATATATATATAATAAATAATGCTGCCTTTAAAAAAGAGAAGATATTTTCCTTCTCTATAAGCATTCAGATGCCGATTGAATTCCAGACAGGCCAAGATTACCTCAATCCTCCCCAATTCTTTTTTTTTTTTTTTTTACATCTTTATTGGAGTATAATTGCTTTACAATGGTGTGTTAGTTTCTGCTTATAACAAAGTGAATCAGTTATACATATACATATGTTCCCATATCTCTTCGCTCTTGCGTCTCCCTCCCTCCCACCCTCCCTATCCCACCCTTCCAGGCGGTCACAAAGCACCGAGCTGATCTCCCTGTGCTATGCGGCTGCTAATCCTCCCCAATTCTTTCAACCAACTATCTATTCAGTATAACTATTTAATAATGGCTAACATAAAATTTTAGTGAAAAATAAAAGAAGACAATAAAACTAAAAAGGAAAGACATTCTTTTTAGTAGCTGTACAATGATTTTTTTTTTTTTTTATGGGGAAGCCTGACTTTGTTGGAAATGATTGATAAAAACTTTAGACTGAAAGAAGCAGCTCAGGGAATGGGGATCGAGTCTCACCCACTGGTATTCAGCTACTACCCAACAATCAAAATAATGACCTCTGATTGTTGTCAAGGACTAAACCGATGCCTTTACATAAACTATTTCACTTAACAGTACTGCTGTGGGAGCATTAAATAAAGTAGTTGAGATGGAAGCCCCAGACAACTAACCCTTTCTGCCCTTGACACTCGCAATTGTGCCCCCACTATATACCCCAAAGCCAGTAGAATTAATCGCATTATATCCATTATCCATGTTTATGTTAGTGATCATGAGAAGTCCCAGACTCACACCACTGGAGCATTTAAGCAGCGCTCTTAATCCCCTCTCCTCGAGCACGAGGAAACAACGAGGGAAGAAAAAGTCTCTTGCCTCTTAGGCAGTTCCAGACTTTTCCCCGGACTCCCTCCCGGCCAGCCATGGCGCACTAACCCCCTTCAGGCTGTGTTCATTCCGCCAACCCCAGTCCTCTCCCTGCGCTCCGACCGAAGCCCGAGTCTCAGCTCCCAGCCCCTCCCGCCCCGGCGGGTGAGCAGACAAGCCTCTCGGGATGGTGAGTGCCGGTCGGCCCTGATCCTCTGTGCGGGAATCTCCCCGTTTTGCCCTCCGCACCCCTGTTGCTGTGCACTCCTCCGCGGCTTCGAAGCTCCCCCCTCCGCCTCCCACAGTCTCCGCCCGCGAAGGGGCTTCCTAGTGTGTGGAAAGCTTTCCTCCTTCACAGCTCCCTCCCACTGGTGCAGGTCCCGTCCCTATTCTTTTGTCTCTGTTTATTCTTTTTTCTTTTGCCCTACCCAGGTACGTGGGGGGTTTCTTGCCTTTTGGGAGGTCTGAGGTCTTCTGCCAGCGTTCAGTAGGTGTTCTGAAGGAGTTGTTCCACGTGTAGATGTATTTCTGGTGTATCTGTGGGGAGGAAGGTGATCTCCGCGTCTTACTCTTCCGCCATCTTCCCGGAAGCCCGTTCAGAGGCCTGAGCAGTGGGAGCTGCAGTCCTGACGCCGGCAGAGGCCTGAGGCCCAGTCGGTCCTCAGCAGGGAGTGGCAGGATGGGCAGTGGGGCGCTTTCAGCACCGTCTGCGGCCTCGGGTTGAGGCGCAGTAACTTCGGGAGCTGTAGCAGTCCGTTCACCGTGAAATTCCTCTGAGTGACTACTTTCTGAAGGCTGGACACCCGTTGTGTCTTTCCCCTTCTTAACAAGCTTAGAGTTCATTACCGGTTCATGAACCATCATGAGTACACCCTTGTGTATCCCCATGACTTCCTTGTCCTCATTCTCCCTATCGTACTTACTTGGCCAAATCGAAGCCTGCTAAACGTAACTGTCTGTCTCTTCTCTCTATATTTTCACCCACAGCTCAATGTGGATAGAGACAAACACTCAACTACACCAACTGGTGTTCCATAATTTCATGACCTTGGACTTCAAGTGGGCCCTTAAAGTTGCCTGGTAATCTACATTGCACTCTCCTGATCCATCCATTCTTCTGCTTCTCGCAAGCCTCCAACACTCCCTGAACCTCACTCTCAGCTTTCTATTTCACTGAGAAAACTTTAAACAACCAGTTAAAATTTCCAAAAGTTCTCACCACCACATTTACTCAGCTACCAACATCAGAACCCACATAGTCTACCTTCCTACCTGTTAACAAAGATAAATTTTTTGTGCACCTGCCTAAAGCCAATTCCTCTGTGTCCTCAGTTCATCTCTCTTTCTTACTCATAGAAGTACTCTGAAGTTCTTTCCTCTCTCTCCTATATCATGTATTGTTTTACTCTTAGATCATTTCTACTAATATGTAAACATGCTACTTCTCCCATCTTAAAAGCAACAACTAAAAAAATTTAAAACTTCTTTTGATGTCATATCCTGACATCTACCCCTTTCTTTGTTCTCCTTTGCAAAAAAAAAAAAAAACTTCTAAAAAGAGTTATCCATGTTTATTGTCTCCAATGTCTCTCTTAATCCCATTCTAATCAGGCTTTTACCCTCACCCTCCAACTGAATTTCTCTTGTCCAAGGTCTGCAATGGTTTCCGTGTTCCTAAATCCAGTGTTCAGTTCTCAGTCCTCATTTGACCAGACTTAACTGCATTTAATACAGTTTATTCCTGAAATGTTTTCTTCACTTGGCTTTCAAGACATATCATTTTTTAGGTTGTCCTTTTATTTCACTGGCCATTTCTTTTCAGTCTCTTTGGTTGGTCTCTCCCCAGCCTCTTAAAGATAGTGTGCCTTAAGACTCAATACTTTGCTTTCCTTCTCTTCATTATATAAACTCATGACCTTCATAAGTTCAGCTGGTATTAGGTCTTTAAATACCTGCTCTACCTTCAACTCCTAAATTTACATCAACCGTCCAGAGTTCTCTCTCAACTCCAGACTGATATACCCAATAACCTACTCAGCATCTCCACTTTGAAATCTAATGGACTCCTTAAACTTAACCTTTAAAATTGAATTTCTAGTTTTTCACCCAAAACCTGCTACCTCCAGTTTCCCCATCTCAGGTGATGACAACTTCATCTGTTTAGTTGCTCAGCTAAAAAATTAGAGATATTCTTGACTCATTTTGCTCCAACCACACTGGAGTGCTGGCTCTTCTTTTACCATTCAAGGCAAGTTTCCATTTTAGAGCCTTTGCAAAAATGTTCCCTTTGCCTAGAATCCTCTCTTAGCTCTTACATGTGCTTCCTCAATTGTTATCTCCTCAATGAAGCCAATTATAATTACTCCATTTAAACCTCTAGCCCATTTGCTTTGTCCCACCTATAGTTTTCCCAGTTCCCCCATTCCTTTTTACCTTTTTCCCATAGCACCAATCACCTTCTAACATACCATGCAATTTACTAACATATTATGTATTTCGTTTATTATCTGTCTCCCCTTTGCTAAATTCTAAATTCCTCAAGGGCAGGGATCCTTGTTTGTTTCGTTCACAAATGTATCTCAAGTGCCTGGAACAGCACCGGGCACATGGTAGGTGCTGCAGTAAGTATTTCTTGAGTGAAAGAATAAACTCTCACCACAATATTATGAGGAAGGCACAATTCTTTATCAGATGAGGAAACTGAAGCTTAGAGAATATGAGGGTCACACTACTTGTAATGGCAGGACCAAGATTCCAATCCAAGCCTCTCTCCCTAGAGTTCCCACTCACTATTCCATACCAAATGGTGTTTGCCCAAAGTGGCCAGAGGACAAAGGGGATACAAAGATGAAGGATGCCATGGGGAGTTGAGGGAGAAAGGGAAATAAACCTTTGTGTGCCAAGCTAAACAATTTGGACTACTTTCCACAGAAGAAGCTCTGAAGTAAATGGCTACATAGTTACATCCATATTTTGGAGAGATAACTCAGACAGCTACCAAATGGAACACTGGAAACCAACAAATCACCAGCAGAGAGAAACACCAATTTTAATGGGTCTTAATCCAACTCTAATATTTCCACAGCTAAAAATGACTCTCCTTATACTAATTCATTAGTCCATGGTTCATTTAATCTGGTCCCCACTTTAGAAAAAGTCTGACACAGCATAAATAGTTATGAAATTATACTTTATTCATATATATTAAATATTGATAAACAAACATATTACTTTCCATTTGGGTACAGTCACAATTGTCAGCAATATTCTGAAGCACCAGGCATGAGATGAGATGAGATGCTATGTTTTTATCACGGGACAAGTCATATCGCCTGACACACTCAAGTGCTGTCTGACATGCCATCATAGCGGTGGCTCAGAAGGCATAGTCTCAAATAGGCAGCAACTGGATGGCATCATTTCATTTATCAGCATTCATTATATCATCAAGTGAAATAAATGCACAACCCACAGGGTCTTGCTTAGGTCAGCTGCCTAGTTGGTCCCTGAGATAAAGCCTTGTAATCACATAGACTTGCCTAGTGAGTCAGAAAAAAAAAAGGGTCAAGTGAAATAGTCACAGGATACAGGAATTATAAATAACACATAAATTAATAGATACTCATTTTCATGACATAAAAGTTACTATTATAAATACTTTGATTGATAAGTCTAAATATATATTCCCCATATAAATAATGTAAAATATTAAATATTAATAAATAGATTTAGATTTAAAAATTCAAATATTGCAGGCAGGCAGGATTATTTCGACGCTCTCTGGCCTCGAAACAGATTCTGACTTCTCCTCCGCTTTCTGAGGTTAGATCTTGGCGACAGGTCCTTCATCACTTTGATGAGTTCACTTATGGCTTTGCGCTGGATCTGCAGATCATCTACCTATTGGGAAAGAAAACAGCAAAATTAATTTCAGGCATACAAATCATTAGGATATTCTGCTGTCATGGTCAAAGAAAGTAGAAGTATTCCTTTAAAATAAATTATTTTCACTAGCAATATATTACCTTAATATGTAATGTTGGTTTCTTCAGTGATTAAGACTAAAATTATAATTAAATTGCTAGTTGTGCTGTAACATGGTGGGACACATTACATATCCTTTAATTTACCACTACAGAATTCTGAAAATTATATAGCAGAAAGACCCCTGAAGTAGTGACAAAAAAATGTGTGTTTGAATTCTGTGTGTACAATACATGTGACTTTAGTCACTTAACCTCTCCAAATCTCTGTTTTCTCCTCTGAATGATGAGGAGATTGTTTAGACAACCTCTAGGCTCTCTACCACTTCTATCACTTTGTACTTAATCTTTGCTATAAGTATCAAATGAGTTACTATAGCCAATGGCTCTCACCTTTGGTGTGTAGAAGAATAACCTGGAGACCTAATGAAGAACTCAGACACCCAGGTGTATGAATTCAGACTAGGCCTGGGCCATTGTGTAGTTACTAACACCACCAGGTGATTCAGGCACCACCAAAGTTTGAAAACCACTGGTATAGGTTCAGTACTTTGTAAACACCAAGTCCAAGTCAGATGAAAATCATTAATTTTTAATTTCCCCCAAATTAGGTCAGTCTCATCATTTCCATAATGGGATTAAAAATAAACACCGATCATATTTACATGGCAATAATCAATTACTGGTATATAACACTTAAAATTAGGAATGAAAGCAAATTTCCTGGTACCCTGCCTTCCATTCCAGCAAATTGAAGTATTTTCTCACTCTACCCAATAGGACCATTTAGGTGAAGTCATGCTTCATAAAATGAGGACCATTTACTTTTATCTTTGCTCTGCCACTAGATGTCTTTCTAAAGCTGGAAACACTGCAGCCACCTTGCCACATTTCGGAGAATGACTAGGCTACAGGACTAAAAGGCATAACATGCCTTAAATACGTTCGCAATTGAGCAAAAAAAGACAATGGTTGAGAGCTCACTCAGGACTGCCCATTGTGAAGCAGGAGGCTTGGAGCTTCCAGAAGGATGGGACCAACGGTTGTTTTTTTTTTCAAGGCCCAGTTACAGCAGAATAGAAAAGTTTCTACCGGGTGTGTGTTTACAAGTGATAAATTGAACTTTCCAGTGTTCAAAGCATCACCAAGAAACTAAGAGACTCATCCAGGACTGAACAGCAAGCCAGAGGCAGCACTGGGCTAGGAATAAGTGCTTTTTCATCCTCTAGCCTGCAACCAATGGATATCTGCTGAACACCGGAAAACATTACCAGTGGAAGTAGTAATGATCTTATAATTTTTCCAAGCCACTCTCATACCATCGAACATACTGGAGACTAGAGCAATCTTGAAGAGCAGCACTTATTTCATTTCCTAGGAGCTTATGTGAGATTGCTGAGAGGCAGACCCAGTTATAGGGAGAGCTGGGCACAAATCCTGAGAGCACAAGTCATAACGGGACCCCTCCTCTTCTCATTCAAGCCTATTTATACCAAAGCCAACCCCCCCCGCCCCCCAAAAAATCTGGAGGCCTTTGTCTCTTAGATGAAATTTTGGAAAATGTGACGTCTTTATGCTTCAAAGTTATTTTTCACCTTCTAGAAACCATAACTTTAAAGACTCAAGGCAATTTGATAAGATAAAGCTGAGGAGCCTAAGGATTTCTCCAGCCAAGATGTTCTAGTATCCAAAAGTTGATAGGACAGTTCTTTCATAAAGTATAAATTCTACCTATTTTCTTTTCTAAAAACAAACACTCTCACCTCTACTTGGGCTGCACAATCTGAGAGGTTGACCAGAGTCTGGCTGTAGGAGGGCCTTTGTCTCCTCAAAGGCCATACCTTTCTCCTAACTCATTCTCATTTTCTGTCCATGGCATTGTAGAATTTTAGAGCAAAGGAGACCATAGAAATTATAGTGAACCCAACAGGCTCCTTTTAAGATGAGGAAACAGCCCCAGCCAGGCCTGTGATTCATCTGAGATCACACATTTCTTTGGTGGCTGAGCTAGGAGCCACCCTCCCACTTCTCCCCCCAACCCTCCCACTGCTTTTTCCATTAAGATATGCAACATCCTATTCAAAGCAAGAGAATTTCCAACACACAAACAAGGGGCAATGGGAGAACTGCTTTTCAATACTCCCCCCACTTCTTCCCTACTTCTTTCTCACTGATTTGTTCATTCGCCTATCTTTGTGCTGTAGACATAATTCCAGTATTTTCCCAAATCACAAATTTAAGTGACTCGCATAACTGACTTTGCAAAGCCACCCAAAACACAAACAGAATTGGTAAAGAGGGGTTTTGGCCACAGGTTCATTTCATAGCTTTAACAGCTGTACCCAGTAGCTAATTTCTACTTTCTGGGAATGAAGTGCTTTGCAAGAGCCTCTGCAATGAAACCAAAAAAAAAAAAAAAAAAGAATTAAGATCATCTCACCGGAATTTGAATCAGCTTTTTGAAGTCATCCAGTTTCTCAGAGCTGCCATTTAAGAACTTCTGAAACATGTCCTGCTTGATGATATCCATGCTCCTTTGAATGATCTGGTTACCTTTTAAGTTTTCAAAGAGTTTGAAGTAGAAGGAGACGATTTGGCTCTGAATTATTTTTTTGTCACTCTCCTTGGGAGAAAAAGGCACAAAGAGAAGTTGATGTGAATTTATCCATCAGAAAATAAGCAATAGGAAAATTAGCCAAGTGGAAATGTTCAGCTTACATCTTTCCAATTCTCCAAAATTTCTAAGAAAAGAGGCCCACCACCAGCTACATCTGGGTTACTTGCATTCTGAGAAAACAAAACAAAACAGGAAAAAATTGGTTTACAATCAGTCCATAAATTGCCCTAAAACTGTACTTCAAGTTTTATTGAACTTGGATGCTGACAGTGTTCACTGATTTTCTTTTCAACACTCTGTTTAGTTCTAACAATGTTTTCTCAAAAGCTATCATGTTGGATACAGCCAAAGACTATCATGCTATTTTAGCTTTCTTATTTACTAATATAACTTCACAAATGAACTCAACAAGGCTGATGATACTTCGGTTGTGCCAAATAACTATAGTAAGGGACAGAAAGTATTTTTAGGTCTAGTGAAAAACCCCAGCAAAGCCATCTCACTATAAAATACTGCCCCGCTATGGTACAGGTTTCTATAACCTCTAGCTGTGCCCTCCTATAAGATATTATGTCAGCTTTAAAAGATAGCTCCAGCTGTAATTATAGTAGCTAAATTTTGGACATATAATAAAATATTTAAAATGCAAAAAACTATTTTAATTAACCATAAGTAAAAATTTTAAGAAACTCATAAAATGAAAGAAAAAAATTTTTAAATAGAAAGCAGATTAAACTCCTACAAAAAAATCTCAGCAAATGACTACTCCAAGAGTAATTCACAGACAATCTGGATGGGACAGTAAAATTTTAAAACCACTTTTTGGAGAAAAACACCTGTAAGTGATTTTTTTTTAAGCCAAAGCTTTAAGGACCTCATCTTCTTTAATTGATCAGTTATTTCAAATGACCATTTTTAAAGCTAATCTTGACCTTCCTTTGACTGTCACCATCATAGCAGCCTGAGAAATCAGAAAGAAAGACCTAGTCATTTTTTCAGTAGGCATACTACTTGACATCATAATTAAACGGATTCTCATCACAAAATTAGCAATGCTCTAAATTATACCCGTATTATGCCCATCTTTTGGAGGATTCATGAATCCCCACTGAATCTCCATAGCAAATTGAGCAGAGAGTTAAAGCATTATCTAGATCGCTTAGTCAAAAAAACACATCCAGCCAACAAGAGCCACAATAACACCAAGTCTTCTCAAGATGACTGTGGGCTAGAGATGAGAGCCCATCATAGATACAATTACAAGTTAACATTAAACATCAGTCATTTCAACCACAAGCATTATTAAAAGGTCATACTTACAAAATATTCCTTTAGGTTCTGTATTTCTTTAAAAAATGGGGCCTGGCAGTAAGAGCCAGAAGAACCCAAAATCACGCATAGCTGAAAAGCTAAGAAATAACTGGTATATTTCATTGTTTCGGAGAGAGTTAGGTGAAGTAGTTGTAGCTCCTGTATTAAGTTGATCAGGTCCCAAGGACGTAGCTGATCTCTCTTTTCTAATAGCTGATCTGCAGATGATCAGAAGAATGTACTGTGTCTCCTTTTGCTACTGGTATTTATACCTAGTTGAAGTCTCATCAGGATTACGTATTTTCACAAGTTTTTTAAGATGAGATGGTGACAGATAGAGATGCTAGTTAGTTGGTATTAATAACTATGGTTTTGTGGCATTTTGGTGTTGTAGTTAAGAGTTTCCTTTCAACTCCTTGGGTCTTTTGACGAGGAGACAGACCCATCATGCCCACCTGTGCCATTCTTGTGGGATACTTTGAAAGCACTTTCACTTCACACCATCCAGGGATTGGAAATTTTTGTGCACCTCCTCCTTTTGCTCTTGTAAAATGTTGATTCCTCATCCAGAGATTACATTGATCATTCGTTTGTGGTCGGAAGCAAGTAAAAAAGGAAATTCTAGGGGCTCTCAAACCTTTACAAAGGGGGTGCCTCTTAAAATTTTTCTTGCAAATGACCAGAAATCAAGGAAAAGAATGTGGTTAGAAAACCAGTGTGGTAGGAAGCCCTTCATCAAAGATGGTTAATATAATATCTACCACAAATTTATGTTGCTCTGACCAACAATGCCCAACAGAAATATAATGCAAGCCAATTTTCTAATAGCCCCATTACTAAAGGTAAAAAGAAACAGGGAAAAATAATTTTTAAATATATTGTACTTAAACCAATATATCCAAAATACCATTTCAATATGTATCAATACGGAAAAATATTAATAAAATATTATACATTCTTTTTGTTATACTAAATCCTAGAAATCTGGTGTGCATTTTATACCTGTGGTACATCTCAATTTGGACTCACCATATTCAAGCTCAATAGCCATGTGTGGCAAGAGGCTACCATATTGAACAGCAAAGCTCTAGATGATAAATTGTTCCAAATAATCACTAATGATAGATTTTTTTTAAACTTTTTTTTTCCTTTCAGATACAAATAGGATTGTTTTTTCTCCTCTCTTAGTAATTTACTTATGAAATATAGCACTTAGAGATGGCACAGAAGACCCTCCACTATTTGATTCCAGCCCACCTTGCCTTTCAACCTGTACTGTATACACAGCAGTATTGCAGTTATGAATGCAGACTTGAATCCTGTCTCCACTGCTATCTAGCTATATGATTTTGAGTAAGCTTCTTAACTCTTCTGTAGCTAGGTTTCCTTATCTTCAAAGTGAACCTAATATTAGTATCTTCTCCGGGCTTCAGTTGAAAATTGTCAGATGATAATTTATGAAGTGCTAAGAATTTTGCCTATCATGTAGTAAGCACTCAAAGTGATCTATTCCTATTCAGGCACATTGGATGACTAGTCATTCCTAAAAAAAACACACCCTGAGCCCTTGCTCATGCTGTTCCTTGATTTCCCACATCTGTGCCTCTCAGAGTGGCACCCAGCCATCCAAGTCCAGCCTAAAAGTCATTATCTGCATGAGTTCTCTCAAAATGATCCTTCTGAAAAGTCATTTCACATCTTGTCTACAAAGGTCTAGGAAAGTGGTTCACACTTTTCTTAGAGTCTTGAACCCTCAATCTCATATTAGAGTTAGTTATGTATCTTCTCCTAATCTAGGGACTGAGTTCCCTAGAATCAGAAATTGTTTCTGTTCCGTAACACAGTTTTCTTCCCTAAAAACATTGTAGCGTGGAGATTTGTCCACTGACAGCACTGAATAAAAGTGAACTTGAATGCTTAATTCAGGGCCTACTCTTCCCTCAAGCTAATTTTCTTCAAGTTCTAATCCCAATGCTATCAGAACTAACCTGTAGGAAACTCGTTTTTAATTAAAGAGGGTTCATGATTAATGTTGGAAACCTGATGCTATGTCTCTTTAGCCAACCCCTGCTTACTGGGGCAATTCCATGTATTATTTTATGTGAAAAAGGCCTGAAAACTGTTTGAGAGGTTATCTTCCCAAAGAATAAACAAAATCAAAAAGTGTTTGTGGGACCAAAGCCTCACATCAAGCAAGTGAGGAGTGTCAAATTACACTGCTGCCCACAAAGCTCTATTGTATCGCTCCTCAAGGAAAAAGACAGCCCAGATAAAGTGCTTACAGGGTGACACTGTGACAAGAAACCCTTTCCAAAGCCTTGAGACAAGTGCAGGCACTCAATACTATCCAGGAAACCTATGACCAAACTCCAAGATACTGTAAGGAATGTTACCAACGTTCTGGAAAGAAGTAAAAATTTGTTCTGCTCATCCCTTGATCTATCCACTGGAATATGGTGCTGGGGGTGAGGAGTTAAGAATAGCGAGGTCAAAAAAAAAAAAAAAAAAAAAGAATAGCGAGGTCCATAATTGGGAATTACACTTTGTCTGGGGGTTTGTAAATTGCAAATCCCTATTCAAAATCATATGCATATATATATATATATATACACACACACACATTAGGGATATGTTTACAACATGGCCAGATGTATAGAATTAATAAATACATGGCTAAAATTCAAGCTCTAATAGCTCTTGATGGCATGACCAAGCACAGCACAGAATTAGGGAATTACAGAGACTATCTATGGCCTATTCTCTCATTTTTTTTAGATTTGTAAATCAAGACCCAGGAAAAAAACAAGTTGCTGTGCTTAAATTCATTCAACTGGACAATGTAGAGCTCAGTCTAGAGCCAAGACCTTTTCCTTAATCTACCTGTCCCCAATCAATAGCCATCAAAACTACTGTATGTACCAATAACTGTGTTAAATATGTGAATTCAAGTAATTACATCCTATCAGGCTTTGATTCTGGGACTTTTTTTTTTCTGTAGAATTTGTGAGATAATAGTCACTCTTTAATTCCTTAAAAAATAGTAAGACTGCAAATAAAAGCTTTGAAATTATTGGTTAGACATCCCAGCAGGCCCAACTTCGTGGACATAAGACCTGTACAGTCTATCAGGACCCCACACTTAGAGGAGCCCACATTTGGTTTAATGCTTTGTTGTTACCTTGTTGAAATTCCTAATAATTTTTAAACAAGCGGCTCCCATTTTCATTTTGCACCAGTTCCTGCAAATTCTGTAACTGGTCTTGCATCCCAGGCTGGAAGTGAATCACATCCTATGAGATTTTCATCTTTCAACATATGATTTTGGGGTTCAGAATGTTGTCACTACAATAGTATATGCTTTGATCTTTTCCTGTCTTGTCAAGTTTACAAAAAAAGATGTTTCTCTCTCTTTTCTGCCTGTAAAACACCTTCTGTTGCACATGCAAACTAGAGGTTTCACACTTTGTTGGTTCAGCCAACACTGAGACTGCAGAATCATTCACCACCAAGATATCCTTTAAAAGTTTTTCAAACCCACCAGGAGCCAAAGTGTGAGCAAATTACTAAAACGAAGGGACTGAAAACTTTCTTTTTTCCCTTCAGCCAGACTTCTTTCTGAAAACTGGTGATGGTTATGCATTAAGCGTCAGCAAGATTTTCGATCGTATCTCATGCTATCCTCAGCCCTCGCTGAGTAGGCAGTCGTAAGACAAAACTTACACCTTTGTTGCCCTTTTTCCTCTGTGGTCAGCAGTCCTATCCCTAGCGCTCACAACCAAATTATCACATCCAGACTTTGGGGTAGGTTTCTTCCACCGAGTATGAGTCAATATTGGATCTGTGCCCCACGCTGCCTTGACCCTGGGAACTCCTGACATCATGCAAGCTGAGCCTACGGAATAAAATGATATTCAGAGTGGAAATCCACGCGGAGTCAGATTTTCCCCGAAATTTGACTCAAAACTCCCGTATGTTAGAGGAGAGTTTTCTGAATCCCCCCTTTTCTTTCATGCCATCTGGACAACTTTGAGACTTGAGTCAAAGAATATAGAAGACATTATACTTATGTAGTACCATTATCAGCTTACAATATTTTCAAGTTTATGTCAAATGGGATTGTATACTGTTCATCTAGGGATTCATGTCATGCTTTGAAGATCATATTTTTAGTGCACAAGGAATTTTAAAGCATCTACTAAGTGCTAAGTACTGTGATTGACACAGGGTTATTAAAGAAGGATGGGACAGTTTTGTTGGGAAAATATTTGTTTATATCCTAATATCACTCAATTAGTAAGTCTTTGTTGAGCACCTACTCCATGCCTATAGCCCTAGAGGTTACAAAGAAGTTAACAGTGAGGCAATCTGGCAGGAGCATATGTCACCACATTGGTAGCTAGGATTGATTCCACTGTTCTGATTACTGGGTAGGTATCCATATTCTCCCTTTTTCTCCACATATGTACATCCTTCCTAGGGTGTTCATATAAGTGAAGAGGACTGATTATTGCATAGAGAGTAAAACACATACCTGACATATATATTGCATTCCCTCCTCCTATACCCATGGCAGGCATCACTAGTTAGCCATGGTGTTCCTTCCTACTAAGTTTAGATGTAGACTCTGAATCCTTTTCAACACTGAAATCTACCAATTCATTATGTGTTTCATTATCTATTTGTCCCCTTGGGGCAAAGGTTTACTTGTTGCTGTGCCTCATAGCGAGATGCGTTCTTACAAATTACAAAGAAGTAAAAATTATGATCTCTTCCTCCAAGAACATTAGTATTAGAGAAGAAAAATTACAATTCATGAAGTAATATAGGGGAAAGACCTCTGGCCTGAGAGGAAGGAGTCCCAAATTCTGGTCCTAGAATCTACCACTGGTATGTGGGATTTTGAGCAAAGCCTTTACCCATGCTTTACATCTCAACATCTTAAAAAGAAGAGTTGGATCTAATGAATTGTTTCCTGCCATTTCTAACATTCTATGTTTCTACGACTGTGATTTATGAGGAATATATTACTGAGAACTAATATTATATGAGATAGAGAGTCCAACAGGCTTAGGAATTCAAAGAGAAATACAGTTGTCCCTTGGTATCACAGGGGACTGGTTCCAGAACCTTAGTGGATACTAAAATCCACAGATGCTCAAGTCCATTTTATAAAGTTGCATAGTTCAGTGGGCCCTCCGTATGTGCGGGTTCCACATCTGTGCATTCAATC